AGGTGGTCACGGCAGCTGATGGACTATTTATATGATGATAACTGTGTCTGTTGCTGACTCTGTGAACCACATCCAACAGCATCTATTTCGGTGCCGAGGAGCCCTGACGGAGCACATTTTGATTAATAAATTATCCGGTGCAAGGTGTGTGATGGGTTCCCCTTTCACATCTCATGAAAGTCATCCGCTCCAAGTTCAGCGGCTCAGTAAGCCCGGGGCATTTTGAGGATGCAGCTCCCCGATACAAACGGCCCTTCATGGGGAGGTGGAGGAATGGGGAGGGGGGGGGGAATTTGTCTGCACGGGGGCATCGGCTTCCCCTGGCTGACAGGTAGCTCTTGGCTAAAGCTGGGCAATAGCTGCACCTCTCCCTCCGAGGGATTTGAACAATGCTCAAAGGCCAAAGGGGTAGGGAGGAAGGAGGAGACATCGATGTCTTTTTTTTATTTTTTCTTTTTTTTTTTTCCCTGGGTTTGAGCCAGTATTTTTAATGGCCTTTTTAAACTGTGAGAGTGTTGGCCGAGGGCAATTAAACATTATGGCCTTCATCTATAAAACCCCTCGTTATAGCAGTGTTTCTCCAAAATGATGCCTATGCCACCATCCGTTCCTCAATGAGCCTGGAAAAACACTCCGAATGGGCTACTGCGATCCATCCCATTACTCCCAACCCAGCGCCGCGTTGGTCCCTGCCTTCCTGCTCTCCTGCCTGGTTGCGGTGGATGGAGGAGCTGCTGCTGTCCCTGTACCTGCACACGGATGGAGGGATGGGGAAGTTTTCCTTCTCCTTTTACCTGGGCCATAACCAGAAGCTGGACTTGTATGTCCTGAGCAAGCCTGTTCCCTGCCAGGTGAGAGCAACCCGTCTGCCAGAAATGCATTCATATTGCTGTCCCAAAGTTCATTCTTTTTTTTTTTTTCTTGTTCTCACCTTTCCTCTGTCTTTTGGAGTATTTAAAAACATTATCTGCATTCCTTTTCTTCTCTCTGCGTTCCCTTTCGCTGCTCAGCCTTTCTGCCCCATCTCTGATTCCTCCCCTGGGTGTCTCTCCCGGTCTCTCCTGCTGTCGCCCACCTCGCGCTGTGTCCAGCTCCGTAGGTTTGCAGTGGCAGCAGAGAGGTAGCAGTGGCGCCTGCCTTCCCACGGGGTGGGTGCTACCTCCTAGGCAGCCTCACCTTTATTTTCTGCTCTCTGCCCTGCTTTTCTTCAGGCCGTCTTTGCTTTCCCAGCACTTGAAAGCAGAGCTTCTCCTTTGCTGACAAAGACCCGTTTATTCCTTAGCTTTGCCGGCTCCGTGCGATGGAGCTGCGTCGCCCGTGAACGTGCCACGTCCTTGTCTGGATGGGGAAGGAGGTGGAGGACATGTAAGCCTCTGTTTAGCAGAAACCAGAGCATGGTCTTGGGCTCCCTTTTCAAATCAGGGGCATGGGAGTGAAGTCCTCGGTGTCCATCTAGAAATGCGTCGGTGGCTCAGACCAGACCTCAGGCTAGGCAGTAGATGGCTCAAGTAGGGACGCGTCCAGCAGCTGGTAACTCCTGAGCCAAGTGAGCCATCGCTTCATCGCCTGGTGCGGAGCAGAAGGTGGTGCGTGCCGTGGTGCGAGCGCTGCTCATGGGAGAGCATGCGAGGGCGACGCGGAGGAGAGGGGGCAGCGGGGGCACCTTTCTGGAGGTCACTTGGCTTCCATGTCAAGTGCAGCCAGGACAGTTCCTGTCTGCGTCATTAAAAGAGTTTGCAAAGTGCAAACCTGGAGGCGGAAGGGTCTGCGCTGTTCCACGTCCTCCGAGAAACAGGATTATCTGGGGCTCTCGGCTGGGTCTGAAATCCCTGCAAAGGTTCTCCATCCCCTCTCTGTTCTCCATCCCGTGTCTGTGCATTGTGGTAGCGCCACAAAACCAACGAGGAGCAAACTGCGGTTTGCTCTGTTGGCGTGCTCAGCAGGCAGCGCTGGCCACCGGTCACACAAGCCATCGGCCGGAGCTCTGGGGCGGCGTGAGGAGGAGCTGGCTCAGCTCCTGGCATCCACCTGCCTCCAAGGCCACCGTTGGGCGCAGGCAGCTACGGGTGGCTGGCCGGGAGCTTGCAATCAGTGCAACTGGGAGCAGGACGGAGCAAGCACTGGGAGAGCAGTGGAGCGGACAAACGGGTTGAAAGTTGTCAGCCGGTGCGGCCATCTGCACCGTCAGCTGCGGACTAAGCTGCGCCTAACCCAGGCTCGGCTTTTTCCTGGGTCAGGAAGCTGATGGAGAGATAACGGGGAAGAACCAGGCGGGGAGGAGAAATTATACAGAGGTGGGGAGGGAAAGACAAAATTGGCTATTTTTCCCCCACCTTTTTAAATTTTTTTTTTTTCCTTGTTCTGAGGAAAGTGAAGGCATGTGAAGATGATTAAAGAGATTTTTGCAAAGAAAGCGTCTCGGGGGAACGTGCATTGTTCGTCAGCGTGAGTACTTCAGCGGGGATCACTGGTCAGAGGAATAATGAAGCGGTGGTTGGAGAGCCATTGTAGAGGAAATTATGAAAGGCCTCTGAGGGACGAGTTTGGAGACACCTCTTT